AAAGGGGCTGTGTGAAGCCACAGGAAGAGGCTGTGTGAGGCCACAGGAAGGGGCAATGTGAGGTCACAGGTAGAGACAGTGTGAAGCCACAGGAGGTGGCCATGTGAAGTCACAGGAAGGGGCTGTGTGAAGTCACAGGAAGGGCTTTTTTTGAGGTCACAGAAAGTGGCTGTTATTTAGTACCACGGAAGGGCTGTGAAGTTACAAGAAGTTGTTGAACGAGACAGCAAAAATTGCAGCAAAATTCCATGTTTCTTTCCCATGCTTAGCACCTCCCTATATTCACATCTTTATCTCAAGACTCTGGATTCTTCCCTCATCATTGTGTGTGAAGTGAAAAGTACATGGGCTACCGGAAAAACTTAAATCTTGCCTGCCACTAATCTGAATTTCTACCATTGTAACGTTATCATATTAGCACATTTGTTGTAGGGTTTTGAGCGCTCCTGGCACATGGTATGTGCTCAGTAAGTGGTCATTTTTATTGGGATCTGCTATATCCCCTCATAAGTTAGATGTTTTCAATTTCCTGGCTGATAGTCTGGAGAATTCTTGACATGGAACTGGGGCACCATCTGGTTCCGGAATGAGCAGGAGGCATAGAACCTGCCTGGTTTCAATATCAAGCCCTAGACTAATTTGAGGTAACGGATTATTAGAAAGCTGCCTCTGATGCTGCCTCTCAAATACGCCCGGTTTGGAGTGTATCAAATGGTGGCATTTTCTCATTGATATTCCTCTATTTCTCAAATAAAGAATAAAAGAGGACAAGAGACATAACAAAGCTGTTTTCATTTTGAATGAAAAACATTCAGCCTGAAAACATTTTTATTTATCCTCAATTTGTCCTAATACGAAAAGGTTGCAACCTGCCTTTGACCTCATTCAAGCCTCACTTTATGGATAAACTGATCAGTCCTGAACAGATAAGCCTCCTTTGAGACAAGGCCCACCCCTAAGACCTACTGTAGTCTTTTGGAATCAGGGCTGGAGCAGGGGCCTTAGGTGGCAGCTTCTTCCTAGGGTGGCACAGCAACTAGGTCAGCTAGCTCTGAATCCAGACTGCCTGAGTTCATATCCAGGTGCTGCCCTTGCCAGTGGTGTGAGCCTTGGGCCTCTCTGATTCTTTATGCATTCTTTTCCTCACCTGTAAAATAAGGATGATAACAGTAGTACATATCTCACAAGTCGGGAGTGAGGATTAAATTAGAAGTAAGGTTTTCAAGCAGTCTCAGGCACACGGTGAATGCTGAATCAATGTTAGTTATCATTCCTTTGGTTTTCTTTCTTTTTCCTGGAATTGGCTGAGCCAGAAATTACAGGGGCAAAAGTCTCCTCTTGTCTTTAAGTTGATGTGGAAGGAAAAATCAAAGCCCTCGGTTGGAGCTGAGCAAGGGAGCCTGGCCTGGTGGTAGCTTTGGAGACAGGCTGCCTGTTATTCTGACCACAGTGGAGCAAACAGCCCAGCCTCCCAGAACCCAGCAGATCTGACTGGAGAGGGAGGCTGTGCCTGCTGCCTTTGCCCCAGAGGCCGGTTCAGCTCTTCCTGCCTGGGGTCTGACTTTGGGAAGTCAAGGAAAGCAAGGGTGCCCGCTGGGTTCCTCCTAGGACTGGGACATGTGGTTTTAATCTAGCCCTCTGACAGTCTGCTCATGTATTCCCTTTCACCTCGGCCATAGTTTTGTTATGACAAACTGCGCTTTAAGAAATGGAACAGAAACTCCAAATTCCCAAATCTTTGCCAGTTTCACTTAGAGTCTAAGTAGTGATGAATCAGGCAGGGTGGCTGTTTAGAAGGGGGCAAAGGTTGGGGAACAGAAACTAAGGGGTTGTCACACCTTTAGTGATGACTACAGAGCCAGACCCAAATTCAGTTTTTATCACACACACACCTCCCCCATCATATGACTTCCCTCTACCCATTCTCCCACTCAGAAAAACTCTTAAGAAAGCACTTTACAAGTACTTTGTGATTTTGTCTGTTTGGATAGGGAGAAGACCACATGACCTCTGTCTTCTCTCCGTCTTCCTGCCCAGCGCGTTATCCTATCGTCTATCGTCCATGGCAGTTTGGTGGAGGAGCAGATTTTTGTCATCCTTTTTTGATGTCTGGTAGTTGAAGAAAGATGACTTAGCCTCTGTCTCTGCCAGCTGGTCCCTGGGCAGCCAGCCGAGTGCAGTCATATTTGTAAGCAGTGGAGGTGTCAGGGTACAGAGTGGTGCAGTCTGGGGGGGCGGTAAAGCTCTAGTGCCAGACTATCAGGAAAGATCTTGACTTGATTTCCTCAAAGAAGAGCATTCCTTTACTTATAGAAATGAGGAAAATCTCCTGCTGCCTATTACAGTACAAACTATAAACTATAAGCACACAGTCCTTTCCTCCAAGTGTCCCTGTTTCTCAAGCTGTCTCTGTGCAAAGTTCATTTGTATTAAACCTTTTCAGAAAAGCTCTTAAAAGGCCTCCATTTGACAGAAGGCTCCCCCCATACCATCTTAGTGGGGAAACTGGTTCAAGAGATACATCTGTGACTGGGTTGCACCATCATCCTCATTAAAGCCTAAGCCCTATTTGTAGAGACAGTACCACACTCTTTTTAACTGAGGGAGTGGTGCTATGCTTCATTGCTAATCTGCCTTCCTGTTATCTGACCAAGGGTACACATTGAGACCAAGAGATGCCACCAAAATGTGTGTATTCATTGGGGTTTGCTGTAATAATGCTGCATAACCAACAGCCTCACAGTCTCAACAGCTAACCAAAACATATGCCTTTATCTTGGTTATAGGAGTTGGGTAGGCTGGGCCCACTGAGCACGGCTGGGTTGGCTCTAGGCTGAAGGCTGAGTTCAGGTTTGCTCCAGGTGCTTTACCTGGGGCAAGCTCTTCTCACGGTGAGGACATATTTGCAAAGAGGCAAGCCAAACCACACAGCACATTTAAAGCCTCCAGTAGGACATGGTATATGTTACGTCCACTCACATCCCAGTAGTGAAACAAGTCACATGGCCAAGGCCAAAGAGAGTAGGCAGGGAACTAGACTGCATCTGCAGTGCAACTACGGCAAGGTGGGAAGAATTGTGGACAAATAATGCCATTAAGGACACTGCCCTTGATGGTTAGAACTTCATGGTTGAGAGCTGCACTTCCTGGTTGAGAGCTGTTTTCACCCTTGTGGAGGCGATGGCAGGGAGTTTGGAGGTGGCTCCTGTCCCCTGCCTTGTACAGTTCCCCAGCTTCTCAGTGGGCTGGGCTCCTTCAGGCAGAACTCTCCTGGCTTCCCTTCCCGCAACTGCTAGGCAGCAAAAACCCTGCTCTTGTCCGAGTCTCAGTCTTCTCCATTAACTCCCTTGACATACCTCCCTTCTGGCTCCCACGCTTTCCCTTCTCACTTTCCCATGTGATTTTAAAAGGCGAAGACATTCTTTCCTGTTCCATCCTGGTTATCTTTGGAAGCAGCTTCAGCAGACAATGAGAACTTTCTCACTGCCCAGTGGACTCCTCCTGGCCCACACTTGTGGTTTTACAAGGAAAGAGCTTCTCTTTCTGCCTCTACCTTCAGTTATGCTCCCAAATATCCCCACTTTTCCTCTGACTTTTACAGTGAGCCAAAACCTAGGAAGAGGAGTATTTTCAGATTCCTGAAAGGTAGTCTGTATCCAGAAGTGGGGACAGAAAATCCCTGATCCCACCACTCATGTAAATATACCCAACCATGTAGTGGGCCTTTTATATACTTTGACTCATTTATTTCTTGTGCCAACTCCTGGAGGGAAAAGATATCTAATTCTCTGCATTTTATAGCTGAGAAAAAGAGGCAGAGAGGTTGTGTGACTTGCCTGTTGCAACATAGCTCAGAAGGGCAGAAGCAGAACTCAGAGATGTCTTCCCCAAAACCTCTGCGTCTATTTCCCTGGCTACCCGCTGCTGTTTTCATTGCTCCTTCTCTGCAACTGTGGGTGGATAGGACCGTTAGGCTCATGGGCATCTTCTCTGAGGAATTAAGGAGGAGTATTGGTGAAGGGGTGGGAGGTGGGGCTTGATGGGGAAGGAGAAATAGGGTAGCTATAGAACCAGACAGCGAAGATAACTCCATTTCTCCTTCCCGCCTGCCATGATCATTGCAGGGCAGAAAAGACAGGGTGTGTAACTTGGATGGCTAGAATTGAGGGGAAGAGGTATGGCTGCCCCCCAGCATGTCTGCAGTGACAGGGTCAGTTTGAATCTCCCTGGCAAACTTTCTAGCAGAGTGTGCATCATTCCCCTTTCTTGTTTTCTCTAATATACTCTTTATTATTCAGATGAATATTCCTCTTCAGATGATGTTTTTTTCCAGTCTGATCAAAGCTGCTTTTCTTTTCCCAAAGCTTTACTTGGGTGGCCCTGCCTGGGACATCTGCTCATGGCCATTTTGAACCTTTCTGTCTGCCCAACTGCAGAACTGCCAACTTTCCCCAGGTTTTCTGAAGCCAAGTGAGGCTGAAGAAGGATCAAAACAGGCTGTCTTCTTGAAACATTTTTAAAAGATGATTTGTTTTTCCCTAGTGATATCCAATACTTTAGGAATTCAACACATTTTTTATCTTAGAAGAAAGAAGAAAAGAACAAGCCAAATTGTCCATGGCCATTTCCCCTGTTAGTGTTAATTTAAAATGTTGGTATTCTTGCCAGCTATGTGGCCCTGGGCACACATTAGCACTCTGGACCTTTCTGTTTTCTCAGCTGCAGAATAGGAATTATATAATTCCTGTTTCTCTAGGTTGTTGTGAGAATTAAAGGGGATAGTAACTTATATATGAAGAAAGGGTAAGGGCAATGAGAAGAAGTGGGGCCCAACAGCTTCCTCTCTTGGCATCTCTTCCATCCTGGTTATCTTTGGAAGCAACTTCAGCAGACAATGAGAACTTTCTCACTGCCCAGGTGGACTCCTCCTGGCCCACGCTTGTGGGTTTTTTAAAAGAAATATTTAGATTTAAAGAAATGTTTAGATTTAAAGAAATATTTAGATTCTTTCCAAGAGCTGCATGTATTGGATGCTCAATGCAATATTGTTTGTTACAGTAAAACACCTGGAGATGATCTAAATATCCTTCTGTTGAAGAATGGATGAAGAAATCATGGCACATTTCCACTGTGAAATATTATGCAGCAGTTAAGAAGAGTAAAGCACCTCTATATGGAGAGATAGGGGAAAAACTTCAGAGCCTCTTATGTCAATCAAAGCCAGTTTTGGCATAGTCATCTCCTTTATGCTGAAAATAATTACCACGTGTAGTAAAAATTACCCCCAAATGCTGTGCGTGTTACCTTATTTAGAAAAAGAATCTTTGCAGATCTGATTTAGGATCTTGAGATGGGGAACTTATCCTGATTACCCAAGTGGACCCTAAATGCCATCACAAATATGCATGTAAGGAAGAGGCAGAGGGAGATTTGACACAAAGAAAAGAGGAGACCATGGAGGCAGAGACAGGAGTGATGCGACTACAAGACAAGGAATGCCGACAGCCACCAAAAGCTGCAAGAGGCAAGGAACGGATTCTCCCCTAGAGCCTTTGGAGGTAGCCTGGCCCAGCTGACACCTGGATTTTGACCCAGTGAAACTGATGTGGAACTTGTGGCCTCCAGAACTGTGAGAGAATATATTTATGCTGTTTTAAGCCAGCAAGTCAGTGGTAATCTGTTATGGCAGCTACAGGAAATGAATACTCTGTAACATACGCATATGTTACAATGCAAAGAAAAGCCACAGCCTGAGAAGATGCACACCCTAATTGCTAACTGTGGCTCCCTCTGGGGAGAGGAAGGAGATGTTCGATTTTGCTGTGACTTTGTTTGTATTATGTGGGTTTTTAACCGTGCCTATCTATGCATGTAGTACCTGTGTGTTTTTAAAAATAGCAATAGAGACCAAATTAAAAACATATCTAATTGGGACAGAAATTTAGGATCTCACTTCAGAAAAATCATCAGATAAAGGTATCTTAGGGGATGGCAAGGCATCGTTTGTTTTATAGAAAAGAGGCTCAGTCCTACTGAACACCCTTAGTTGCAACCATACTGAATGCCTCTCACGATGGAGGTTAGAGTACCTCCCCCACCAAAAGGGGACTGACTTTTGTCCCCTATTGGTTGAGGGCTGTCACCAGAGGTATCACCCTGAGCTTCCTGGCACAGCAGGCAAGAAAGCGGGAGTGATCAGGTCGTTGGGACTGGCAGTGCGCAGGAAGATTGCCTGCTGTGGGGGCAGCTGGAGTCCAGCTTTGGGGACATAACATTGGTGTGTTCACTATATTCTCTTATTTTCCGTTTTTTTTTTTTGATGCTCTGGTGTCTGGTGCCTTGTGGACTTAGGGAAGGACTGCCCCTCCCAGGGTTAGCTAATTCTTAAGGAGAGTAACCAACTGGCCTTTGAGCACACCTTTCATGTGCAAACCAACCAATTTTGAGTCTGTATCACCCACCTTATTTTATTAGGTTTCTGTCTGTCCTCTGCCCTATCACCTGTAGCCCAGACCCGCTGAAATCATTCAATTTCAGTTTGCTTAACTTTCTTTGCTCATTCGGTACTGTGAAAACCACAGTAAAGGCTGCAGCTGCATTTGCTCTCTCTCTCTCTTTGCCTGCGCATCTCAGCTCCCGCAGCCCTGTGTGTTCCTGTGTGTCATGCCGTGCCTCCTGTTTCTAGGAGACTGTGAGTATAACAAAAACTTATTTCATGGCAATCATTTTTGTGTCTATGTGTCTTACTATACCTGCTTGAGACAAATTCTGGGTACATTTTAAAATAATGGGGCACGAAAAACATCTGCTGTGTTGGGTGGCTGGTGGCGCTGGCTGGCATTCCAAACAGAAAAGAGCCTTGGAGATTGGAGGAGCCCCCTTCACCAGCAGACTTACAGTGTCACAGGCCGAGGAACAGTGTTTCCACCTCCCTGATAACCTCTCTTACCTGACAGCTCATTTTGCAGAGAGCTTCTCATGTGCCAGGCACCATGATTAGTCCGGAGATGCAATTGTGAGCCCATGTCCTGCCTTCAGGGATCAACCCATCCATTGAGAGACAGACATTAAATGGTCAAGTCTAGTACAGAGTGAAAAGGGGTGTGCTTGGGGAGGAAGAGTGTGTTATGGGAGCACACAGCGAGCAATTCATTGAGGAGTCTCAGGGGAAGACTTCCTGGAGGAGGTGGTGTCTAAGCTGAGACCTGAGCAATGAAAACAGGGAAGAGGGTACTATTCCAGGCAGAAGGATCAACAGGTGTAAAGGTCTGGAGACAGTGGGTCTGGCACTGTCCAGAATTGAAAGAAGTTTAGCATGGCTAGAGCACTTCTGGCATTTAGATGTTCTCTAAAGAAACTTTGAAGGTTATGATCCAGTTTGTGGCAAGTGGCCTGCAGAGGAGCAGGAGTGGGAGAGCAAAGGGGGCTATTGCAGGTGTCCTGGTAAGGAAGAGGGTGCCTGGGCTCAGTCACAGAGGGTCTAATGAGAAATGGACTGATTCAAGAGATGTTTAGGAGGAAAAATTTGCAAGACTTAGATGTATGAGGCAGAGGAAAGGTGGAATGAAGGTCAGGCCCAGATTTCTGGCTTGGGTATCTGGGTGGATAGTGCTACCTTTTAACCAGATTGGAAACAGAGGGAGGATGATGTATAAGGGAGGGGATGAGAAGGTGAATAAATTATAAAGTGGAGAACTGGTAGGTGACCTTGTGGTCCCTCCCTCTCTCCTTGACTCTTAGAAGTCTAACTGGGATAGGTGGATCACCTCACTGCCTGGTCCATGTCAATCCAAAGGGCTTCAAGGGTAGTCTTTCCAGAGGGATGCTGCTAAGTGATCAGCCTGGAGGCTGCACTCAATTCATACAAAGCTGGTGAATAGATCTTGTGCAAATGTGTAGAGGGAGCAAAATTCTTGGAATTCTCAGGGCTGCTTGGGTGCTGTGGCTCCTGAGCACAGAAGTTGGAAAAAGGCGGTTGCTCTGAGGGCCGGTTAGTCACTGCATTTGGTAAGGGCATGCTTCTTTCTTCTTAAAAATGTGCCATTGAGGACTGCTGGTATAAACATGGCAGCATAAACTCTGCATCCTCACCTTATCCTGGAAACCAGCAGAAAGCAACAAAGTGGAAGACAAAATGCAAATTCCTTTTTCAGCTAAATTAGGAGGCAGTCACCAAAATATTTGGAAACAGTGTAAGAAGCAGCCAGTTTCATATGGAAGCAGCATTGTAAGAAGTAAGAAAGAGTAGAAGAGGGAGCCTAAGTTGGCAGATTTCAGAAAGTACCAGTGAAATATACCTGAAGGTGAGTGACACACCTGAGGAGCAGAATCATCATCCCCCTACCCCTTGTCTGCAAAAGAGGGTGTGGAAATGGGATGGGGGCAAGTTTAGTGGCTCAGAGGATTCAGCTGGACGATTGGGATTAGAAAAGCAGAGGACACTGTGATACATAAAGAGCCATGCTAACAAGCCGTATTTGCAGGATGCAGCCTGACCATGGGGTAGATCAGAAGAAGAGAGTATCTGCATTATGAAAACCAGCTGATTTCAAATTCCACTGGGTTCAACAGGAACCTCTTTCAATTGACTGCTCCAACTCATACAGTAAAAAGAACCCAGCATCTATACAGAGACACTGTGCTAAAAAAGGGGACAAAGAACAGCAATGTTTCTTAACAGTTGAGGGCTGATCACCTGAAAATATGACCTGGAAACAGTGGAATTTTGAGCAATCTTATCGCAATGAATTTTTAAAACTTAATATACCCTCTGTGAAGAAATACCACAAAGCAGAAACGCAAGAATTCAAGAAAAAATGGTAAGATGGAAAGACATGAAATATGAGCTGAAAAGAAGTAAGGAAAAGTAGAAACTAACAGAAATAGTGAATAAATAAATAAAACACAGTAAGTCAAATAGAGTATAAAAACAAGAGCAGTGAACAAAAAGAAATGAAAATAGGATTAAAGAGAAGGTATAAGGCCGATAAAGGAGATCCAACATATACATAATGAAGAGCCTAAAGAAGAAAGTAAAAATAAAGTCATGGAATTGAACAAATATTTAATAATTAGTTCAAGAAAATTCTGAGGAAATAAAAAGACTTGTGTCTACCTTTTCTAATAGGCCATACTGCATGCCAAGAAAAGCTGACCTGAAACAGTCAACACTGATAGATCCTAGGAATGTTACTGGATGTGAAAGAAAAATAAAGAATTCTTAGGGCAGCCAGGCAGGGTAAAAAATCAGTTTAATCTTAGATTTCCCTTAATGTTATAAAACAGTGGAGCAGAACCCATAAGCTATTCAAAGAAAGAAACTGTGAGCCACATATTTTGTCTAAGCAACTTTACTTCACATATGAATGCTGTAGAAAACAGTTGGAACATGCAAGAAATCAGAGAACATTGTTCCATGTGAACTTCAGTCAACCAAGAAATAATGGGAAACTGTGGCTAAGGGGACAGGTGTGTGCATAGAATATATTTAACTGAATAACTAAGACCTGAACAGATGTGTCTATTAGAGTGAGGGAATTGAATGTATATGCTTGCTATTGTACCAATGCAGAAATGACACAAATATAAACAATTGGAAAGGGGATGAAGGCAAAAGGTGGAGGAAAGAATTAACATGCTGTTTATTTCATTAATAATAGCAGGCAACTAAAGAATATTATTTAAAGCTGAGAAATATTTAGAAATGTAAACATATTTAATCGTACAAAGACAAACATTAAAAAGATGATGAAAACTGAATGGTAGAGGAAAGGGAGGGGGAAGAGAAAATAATTTTAATGTTGTTCTTTTTACAGGATTAAGAGTTACAGTCTAAAGAACCAGTCAACTAAGGGCATACAATCATTAGGACCCAAATCAAAATTTCCTAAATATTATAAGAAATATACAGCAAAAGACAAATAAAAGTAAGTGAAAAGAAAACATGGTACAAGACTTCAAATATTATAAATATTGTTGGTGAAAATATCAAGCTGTAAAATATTTGAAGAGATTTATTCTGAGCCAAATATGAGTGACCAATGGCCAGTGACACAGCCCCAGGAGATCCTGAGAGCAGGTTATCACACTACAACTTTGTTTTACACATTTTAGGGAGACATAAGACATCAATCAATACATTGAAGGTGTACATTGTTTGGGTCCAGAAAGGAAGGGCAACTGGAAGCAGGGGCTTCTAGGTCATAGGTAGATTCAAAGATTTTCTGATTGGCAATTGGTTGAAAGAGTTAAGTTATTGTCTAAAGACTTGGAATCAATAGAAAGGCATATCTGGGTTAAGAAAAGAGCTTGTGGAGACCAAGGGTTTATCATGTAGTTGGAGCCTCTAGGTAGCTGGCTTCAGGGAACAGATTGTAGATGCTTCTTATCAGACATAAAGAGGCTGTTCTATCAGTCTTAAGGTATGTGTTGATGTCAGTGCTGGTCATCTGGGACTACATTTCAAAAGTGAGGAGGGCATGATGAGGCTTGTCTGGCTTCCTCTTCCCATCGTGGCCTACACCAGTTTTTCAGGTTAACTTTGGAATGCCCTTGGCTGAAAGGAGGGGTCCATTCAAATGGTCAGGGGGCTTGGAATTTTATTTTGGTTTGCAATACAGAAAGTGTACTGTAAAATATTATGACAGAACTAAGACTAAACATGCATAGCATGTCAAGTAATGTAAATAAGCTAAACCTACCTAATGAAAGAACACAGAGCTGTCTTGGTGGAAGTGTATGTGCATGTGGGTGTGTGGAGTGAGAGTGGAAAGTGCAGAGCATACAGAGTCATCTCCTAACTCCCTACCCCATGGTAGAACGTGAAGGAAACCCCAGAGCAAGTTTAAGAACCATTGTTCCATCCTATCTCTGGTAAACAGGCAAGAGATTACAGATGCAATCCAGGTTTGGGGAGCACAGATTGTCTAGAGGACCACATAACTGACAAGGAAAATATTCTCTAGACTTTGTCTCCCTGCCCTGTAGTCCTGGAGGCCCTGCTGAAGTTGGGGGAGGGGGGGATATCAGAAGCCTGCCCTCAGCTGTTTTCCCTACTGTTTATTAGTTTGCTGGTCCCCACCTTAATCAGGGTGTCCAAGCAGGGGATTTGTGGCCCTGGGACACAGGCTCACCTGCTGGCTTCTTCACAGAAGCATGGATGCCTGGGGTGTCAGGTGAGTGGGAAGATGTTTTAGCACTTAAGTGCCAGAGGCCAAGGGGATTTTCTCTACTATCTCCTCCCCTCCAGGTACGAGGGAGGGAAGGTTAGCGTAAGTGGTCCCTCCAGCAGCAGTTTCAGGTGGATGGAAGGTGTCCTTTGGCCCTGAGTCACCCTTTATTGGTGTGTCCCACTGGGTCCTGGGGAATCAGCTCAGAGCTGCAAGGGAGGCTTTGGTTATCATGGTCTCACTGTTCAGGCCAAGGTGGGTGATTGGGTCTCCTGGTGGTGACTGGGCAGTGGCAGAAAACCCTCATTTCAACCCTCTTCTCTGAAAGCCACCCTTTAAGGGCCCATATACTCTTACTGGGCAATGATGGCATGTGGGTCCTCTTGTGCAGCTTTGCTCTGCTACAGGTGCCTGTCATGGGCAGAAGGAGGTTCAGGGGAGCCCACAGCTGAGTCCACCTCCACTGTCCACCAAGAGCTAGAATCACTGGGTATTGGGGGAAGTGAGGCCTCAAAGGCTATTTCATCCAACCCAACCCCTTGTAGATGAGGAAGCTGGTCCAGAGAGTGGGGTCATGTGGCCCCACACACTTCAGCCTGCTGACCTCTGTCCAGTGCTCCTTCCACCACCACACACAGGCTCCCTGAGGCTGAGGTGTTTGGCAAAAGTGGGGCCAAGAGACATCAGTGCACCATTCATGGAGGCGTTAAGAGGGAGATGCTGGCCTCATGTCCAGAAGGCAGAAGAGGGTAGAACAGGGAGAGAACTAGTGTGGAGGAACTAGAGGTAGGAGGCAGCCATGGGCACTTTTTATAGCTGGGCTGTAACTGAGTTTTCCCACTTCCTTTTGATTATTTTCTGATGTTCATGGTGCTGACAAATGTGTTCGGTTCCTGCAGAAACTGCCACTGGCTTAGAAGGGAATGAAAACATGGATAAATTAGGAAATTCATGAGGGGCAGCATTCCTCTAGGCCACGTGGTTGGAAGGAAGGAGAAGGTCAAATGGGTACTGAAGGAGGGGAGGAAAGGCTTTTTTTTTTTTGAGATGGAATTTTGCTGCTGTCCCCCAGGCTGTAGTGTAATGGTGCGATTTTGGCTTACTGCAACCTCAGCTTCCTGGGTCTTCTGCCGGGGTTAAGTGATTCTTCGCAGTAGCTAGGATTACAGGCATGCACAACCATGCCTGGCAAATTTTTGTATTTTTAATAGAGACATGCTTTTGCCATGTTGGCCAGGCTGGTCTCAAACTCAAGTGATCCACCTGCCTCAGCCTCCCAAAGTGCTGGGATTATAAGCATGAGCCACTGCACCCAGTCAGCAAAGGCTCTTTTAATTGCAGAGGGAAGGGAACTCAGAGATGATCCTAATTAGGCCTTTTTGGCTGCATGTAGCAGGAGCACCCATGATCCACAGCTAAATTGTAGAGGGAGAATAGGTATGTGGATGCTGCTCAGCTCCAAGGAGCCCCAGGCAGTGGCTGCTGCGGTTCCTGGGCCAGGTTCAGAACTGGAACTGCAGTGCAGGAAGCCGGGGAAGGCACTCCTTTCTGTTTTCATCTCTGGTTTGTCTGTGCGACTGTTTCCTTCTCTCGCCTTGAAGACTGGCTCTCAACAGAGTATGGCCCACTGATATCATCTTTGGCTGGGTGGCAATGGGGCCCTGCTCTCTATTTCATGAGCAGGACAAGTCAGCCTTGCTGATTTATCACAAGCCCATGCTCCCAGGAGTGGAGTTGGGGGTGAGGCTCTGTTGGCCCAGCATGGGTCAGGGTCCAGGATGGTCCCATCAGCTTAGGTCATAGGTTGGGATCCCTGGACAGATATGGCTGGGGTGGATTGTGGGGGATAGAGGTGGCAGTTTTGAGAGAAAGCAGGGGGCTATTGTTGAAGGCTATTCACCTTCATGTCCAATGCAGATCCCAGATAATCCCGTTTTAACACTCACAGGGGAGCTTTTCAGAAGAGCAAGCACATGCAGGGGAAAAAAGTGGAATCTGGTTTGTTTTGTGGGCATTGTTTCTTTGACACCTTTAAAATTCTGTTTATCCGTGTGCCTTTTCTGTGCATTCCAGCAAATTGCCTCGCACTGCACATAGCATCAAATATTTCTAAGGAATATCTGGTGGATTTAATAAGCAAACTAATTTGGGGAGTGTTTTTGTGACCTGGACTAGATTTTCCATTCATTTTGTCAGGCACATATCTGTTGATTCCCATTATGTACCAGGGCTCTGCCTGTAGGTCTGTCACATAAAGGCTCACAGATGCAGAGACTCCCAACTGCAGTGGTTTGCACTGCTCCAGACACCATGCTCCTTCCCTCTTGTGGCTCATGATGCCCTAGAGCACCGGCATCAGAATTACCCATAGAACTTCTTAAAACACAGGCTGCCCAGCCCCTGTTTCTGATTCAGTAATTCTGGGGTGGGTCCCCAAGAATTTGCATTTCTGACAAGTCCCCAGGTGATACTGATGCTGCTGGTCCAAGGACCATGTGTTGAGAAATCACTTCCCCTACGTGCAGAGCTGTTGCTGCCATGTCTGTGTGCAACTCGCAAGGGTGGGTGAGAGAGAAAGGTCAGGGTGGCCAAACTCCTTTTAAGCATGTGGGGCTGGCAAAAGTGGTTGCCTCTTATGCCATAATCAGGAACTTGGTCACGTGGTCATGCCCTGTTGCTAAGGGGGTTGGCAAAGTCATCTCTAACTGGGTGGCAATGTGCCCTGGAAAAGGGTAAGGGCATGTGTGTGGGGACACCAAGAGATCTGCCAGAACGGGCCCACGGGATCACATGGAGATGAAAAGAGAAGGCCAGCTCTTGGTGATGGGGACAGATGTGAGAAAAGCCCCTTATGGTGCCTGGTGACAGTGTTGTAATGGCAGTTTATCCAAAGGGAGAATAGGGCAGAAGATCATGGGTCTGCAGGCCTCGGCAGAGGCTGCCCTACAAGGAAAAGCAAGCCAGGCTTGGAAGCAGGAGTGCAGTTGGCTGGAGTTGCCCATTTCCTCTCTGGAAGGCAGCCAGCTGTCTCTCCACCTGAGCTGTGCTCTTCTCAGTCTCTCATGAACTGGGAGTCTCCTTTGCTTATCATCCTTATTGTTTTATGGGTTGAGCTGATGTCTTCCCAGGTCTCAAGATTTTTTTCTGCCCTGTCCCCCAGGCATCTTGTCTCTGGAAAAGGCTGCGTGGCAAGAGGCGGCCAGTGATGGCATTCTGCCTCTTGATGACCCTGTCTGCGATGGCTGTCACCCACTTTCCCCCACAGCGTCCAGGCGCCAGCCCAGACCCTGGTCCCACGGAGCCTCAGGGGGTAACTGGCACCCCTGCAACCCATATCTGGCAGGCTTTGAGCTCCAGCCAGAGGCAGCAGGCAAGAAACATGGGCTTCTGGAGAGGTCGTGCTTTGCCTAGGAACTCCATCTTGGTCTGTGCGGAGGAGCAAGGCCACAGAGCGAGAGTGGACAGAAGCAGAGAGTCCCCAGGAGGGGACTTCAGGCATCCAGGGAGGGTCAGGAGGGACATTACTTGGACAGGACATCCAAGACTCAGTACTCAGCATGTTGTGCTCCTGAGGGAGGATGAGGTCGGAGATCCAGGAGCCAAAGACCTGGGCCACCCCCGGCATGGCAGTCCCACCCAGGAGATGCAGAGTGAGATGGTCGCCCTGGTTGATCCACTCGCAGGGAGCGATGTGGCAGCTTCACCAGCTTGGAGAACTACTGCTGGGCTGACACTCTGGCCCCATAGAGTGGAAGGCAGGGATCTGATGGGAACTGAGAACAGAGCCTTGACTGGTGGACGACAAGAAGAGGATCCCACCTTGGCCTCAGGGGCTCATCAGTGGCCTGGCTCTGTTGGGGAGCTGCAAGGGTCAGTATGGTGTGGCACTGAGACCCCAGGGCTGTTGAGCAGCTCGAGGACTGGTGGGCAGGTTCCCCCATGGCTGACAGACCACGATGTGCAGATGCTTCGACTGTTGGCTCAGGGGGAGGTGGTGGGCAAAGCCAGGGTCCCTGCCCATGGGCAGGTGCTACAGGTTGGCTTCTCTGCTGAGGGTACCCTTCAGGACGTGTCCCCTCCCAGGCTCAGCCAACTCTGCTCCCAAGGGCTCTGTGGCCTGATCAAGAGGCCTGGGGACCTGCCTGAGGTCCTATCCTTCCATGTAGATCGTGTGCTGGGGCTGCGCAGGAGCCTGCCTGCTGTGGCCCGCCGCTTCCACAGCCCCCTCCTGCCCTACCGCTACACGGATGGTGGCACAAGGCCTGTCATCTGGTGGGCCCCCGATGTGCAGCACCTGGGTGACCCGGATGAGGACCAGAACTCTCTGGCCTTGGGCTGGCTGCAGTACCAGGCCCTGCTGGCACATGGTTGCAGCTGGCCAGGCCAGGCCTCATGCTTGGGCATCCACCATGCGGAGTGGGCACGCCTGGCGCTCTTCGACTTCCTGTTGCAGGTAGGTAGGGTTAGGCAGCAGGGGTAGAGAGCTGCGGAGGTGGGGGTCCTGGGTGGAGAGGCCTGAATTGGCCACCTGAGGTTGGATGTCCACTCTCCCCTGAGTCCTGGTTTTTCTTTTTTACCACCAAGCACCTGTTTTTGTAATTTTCCTGCCTCTGTTAATTTATCCAGTGGTTACTAGAGCCAGCTCATCAGCTCACAAGAGCTGATGGCTAGAATTTTCAGGAAACTTGTGACCTAGTTGTGAAACACAGGCATTATCAAAAATTTAAGTTGTACAAACAATAAATTATATTAGAAACGAAGGCAATAACTACTCAGAATGCATTATTTCTTAATTATTTTACTATTTTTTACTATCGTCTGTGCTTTTGCAGTTATTTATGTCCTTCATGTCTATGTAATAAATGGTAGCCAATGGTGTGCCACTGCACATCTCCTGACAACTCCACATTTGGGCATGTTGGTGGCTTGAAATCCGTCAGGGTGTGAATATCTATTTACACCATGGAAAGCAGCAAATGCTACAAATCAGGACTCCCCTCTACTCCTGGAGAGCTGATTGTTGAACATTTACCAGCACACCACTGTTTATAACTTTACATCTTTGAATCAACAAGGATTCAAGATGGTGTATAATTTTTATGAGAGAGGGAAAGATGGAGATAGTGACAGAGAGAATGGGAGAGAAAGAGCGAACGGGAGAATACCTGGGCGCTGAAGAAAGAGAAGGAACTGCGCTAGCTGAGATCCCTGACCTACCAGGAGTTAACCCTGGAGTTGTTGGATAGAGGGGTATGAGGGAATCCCAGGGAAAGGGTTGGGCTGTCAGGGCACGCGGGCTGACTGGGGGACTATAGGCACCTGCTATTTACTAACTGACCTGTTAAAAACCAGTGTGGTTGTTCTGGTGCACATGAGCTGGATGTCAGTCATGGATACACAGGCATGGAAACATGGCCAGACAGAAACAAAGACAAGAAAAAATGGATAAAGCTCAGTGAGGGCGGATGTGTGCACCAAATGCACATGGAACCAGCCCCCATTTCTGTAGAGACCCCTGTTGAAGAACAGGGTCCTCAATGTCAGCCCTTAGGGTTACCCGTAGAGGTGAGTGGACCAATATCCAATATGCTGTGTTTCATCCACATGGCGTTGGGTTTATAATGTATTTTAGAAAATTCTTAGATAATATGTAATACTTCAGAGATTTACCATAAAAATCCAGGTTCCCTTGAAAAATTGGATGGTTTAGTAATACGGGTCCTTCATTCCCACACAGCAGGACGTGGCCTGAGCTGAGCATCTGCTGCCCGCTTTGGAGGCTGCCATACTCTCCTTTTGGCCACAGACACTACCTCTTTATTGTCTGACACTCACCTACTGTCCTCCAGGCCTCTTGAATGTTACCCCAGTCTACCTGCAGATAACTTTGTTTCCAGTCATGGGACTAGCTGATCTCCTGTCATCCTCCCAGGTCCTCCAATCTGTGTCCCTATGGCTGCTTTGTGTAAGGAGGAGTTATGGATCCTGATGGTCAAGAGCATGGGCCTTGGCATCAGACCACCCCGTCCCCAGCCCCAGGCCACTTCCCACTGTGTAACCCTGGGCAGGTTACCTAGCCTCTCTCAGCTCTACTTTTCTCACACCAAAATGGGGTTGTACATTCCAACCACATCCCCTTGAGCCTGACCATTTAGTGCACAGTAGCTCCTGGTTGCTGGCACCTGCATCTGCAGGCTTGCTCTGCTTGCTGCACTGGAAGTGCTGGGGAATGAGTATCCTCCAAGTAACATGACCAGCCATGCAGGTTGGGAAGGAGGGGTTTCCCATCTAGGACTTTCAGTGCTGAAGCTGTCACAGTCATGGGGAAACCAGGTAGGTTGGTCATGCTGCCTCCAGGAGCAGCCTCTAACTGTGACTGAGGAGAGTAGGTGTACAGATGCCATGTAAGCATATTCTACACACTTCTCAGTTAATCTAGCAGGATTGGAGCCCAGTTATCCACAGTGGTAATTGCTGTCTCTCTTCCCCACTCGTTTTTTGGAATTAGCTCACAAAACTCACTAAACTGCTTTCAGTTGAATTCTGGTCTGTCCTCTGGGGACCTTTATCAGATAATAACACTGATCACGAATGGTTTCTGGATGCAAGGTCATTTATGTAATGTACTTGGTACAGTGCCTGGTGGATGACACACATTCAGTAATAACCAGGAACCATCCCATGTTACGGGGATTAACTCCTCCAGTCTTGATGGCAATCTACGTGTGAGATACTACACTTAATCCTATTTTAAAGTTGAGAAATTGAGGCCCAGAGAAATTAGTTTACTTGCCCAAGGTGGCAGCTGGTAGACTGAGAAGCAGCCTGGATTGTCTGACTCTAGAGCTCACCAAATCGCAGAGTGATTCAGTTGGCCATGAACATGGGCAGGAAAAGAGGATGCTTGCAGGGATGTCCTGGGGCCTCGATCTCTGAGTCCAGCTGATGTTCTCACAGCTGCCGTATGCTCCACACAGAGGCCCTCTGTTCACCTTCCAGGGTTGTAGTGTGGGACTCTTCCTCAGCTGCCAAGCCCTGCTGTGGGGACAAGTCTCTGTAGCCAAGGCACACACAGGTTGGTTGTGTGGGCAAACATGACTCCGCTGGGCTCATGCCACCTCTCCCCTGGTTTGCTGAATGCCAGTCAAGTCAAATACCCTCCGTCTGACTAACGCCAACTTCCTAGAAACCACTGGCAAGTCAGAGAGAGGCAGGGCTATAGAATGTGGGTTTTCCTGCACAGGAACCTTCTGACCCGGGTCTTGGTACAAACTGCATACAGCTCACTCTGGGGTAGGTCTGCTTGCTCCTTTGTTTGGTTTTATCCTTTATAAACCCTTGTTTTTCTGTGTACATCACCACATCCCATTTACTTAGGCACAAAGCACAAGCGCTGTACACATACACATCTCTTATACACCCCATAAAGCGTAACTATGCTTCACAAGTCCCATATAACACTCAGTATTAGTTAGTGATTGCTGAAATAACACTGTGTAACAAACCTCCCCAAAACTTAGTGCTTTAAAACGCCAGCTCTTTATTCTTGTTCCAGGATCTGTGGGTCAGTTGGGTTCAATTGAGCTGGGCTGCAAGCTGTGGGTGGGGTTCAGGTCTGCTCTTATTCTGAGGGCCAAGGCTGAAAAAAATTCACACAAAGATCATTTTGCTGTGGCTGGGTTTATTATAGTTTTATAACCTTCTGTGCTAAACCTTGACACCTCAAAATATCTAACAGAGGCAAATATAAAACCCAATCAAAAGTGTATGCTGACAATCCCAAAGCCATTTCTATTTTTATTTTACCAATAATCACAGAGCCAATTTGTTTAACATTTATTTAGGTCACATAGACTTGAAAAACTTGGACTTATTTATGAGCATTCTTGTATTTATAAGCCAATTTGGTGGATGCAATACATATGTAAATACGTCAAAACACACACACACACACACACACACACATACACACACAGATCCATTAGCTTTTCTTGATATTTGTTTTGTGTTTTGAGGCAGTGTCTCACTCTGTTGCCCAGGCTGGAGTGCAGTGGCATGATCACAGCTCACTGCAGCCTCGACCTCCTGCACTCAATTGAGCCACCCACCTCAGCCTCCTGAGTGGCTGGGGCCACAGGTGTGCACCATCATGCCCAGCTAATTTTAAAATTTTTTGTGGAGACAGGGTTTTGGCATGTGGCCCAGGCTGGTTTGGAGCTCTTTGGCTCAAGCAATTTGCCTGCCTTGGCCTCCCAAAGTACTGGGATTATAGGGATGAGCCACCACGCCTGGCAAGATCCAATGGCTTTTACATCGGAATTTTAGCCATGAGGTAGCAATACAATCTCACCGGTTTATGAATACATTCACATGGCTAAACTTTGTTTGCCCTGATATGTAATACAATCAATGCTGCGAACCAAAATTTTGGGTAAAGCAGTTTCTATGGCAGCTTGATTTTTTTGGCAGTCCATGCTCCTGACTCCAGAGAACACTGGGGCCAAACAGCACTACAGAAGAACATCATGTACTAACGAGATCAGATGAGATCGGGCACATTCAGGATGCTGTGGCTGTAGACGTTCCCTGGCTCCATCAGCTCACAACTACATTCAGACCAGCCCTGAAGAGTGCACCCAAGCGGGCTGCACTCTGGCATCGAACCTTGACCTCCCATGACTGCCTTGACAGACAGACAGACAGACACACACACACACACACACACACACACACACACACACACACACCACATACTCATTCACTAAAATACAGTTCAACCGTTGCAAAGCCACCAAGCCCCAAGAGTTTCCAAACAGAAACAATCAGGATGCTCTCCTCTCTCCGTCAGCGGGGCTTGTTCAACCTGCAAATGGAAATTCTTCAGCTCTCAAATGGAGAGGAGCCAATCCTACTGCCTGGTACCCGCAAAAGCCACTCACTTGTCTAGATGCACATATCAACTTTCAAAATCTTCCTATACAATCAGGAATGCAAAATACAGTCAGGCAGCAGGTTAGGAGGGCTTCTCAAACTCTCCCAGCATGTGGCAGCTAACCACAAGCAAGGCATTCCTGATCAGGGAACCAAACTTTCTTACTGAACACCAGGGTTTCAGTCTACATCCATTGCTTGCCTCACAATTGAGACAAGTGTTGCCAGAGAAGGCTTTATTATTACTATTATTATTTGAGATGGAGTTTTGCTCTTGTTGCCCAGGCTGGAGTGCAATGGTGCCATCTCGGCTCACTGCAACCTCCGCCTCCCGGGTTCAAGTGATTCTCCTGCCTCAGCCTCCTGAGTAGCTGGGCTTACAGGTGTGCATCACCACACTGGCTAATTTTGTATTTTTTGGTAGAAACGGGGTTTCTCCCTGTTGGTCAGGCTGATCTCAAACTCCCGACCTCAGGTGATCTGCCCTCCTCAGCCTCCCAAAGTGCTGGGATTACAGGTGTG